TTTAATGTTATGGACATTGCTTTTTCAGGCCCTTTACCAAGACTTTGGGAAAGGTCACTCCATGGGGCAAGAACCAAGGCAGTGTGATTCTGTATGGTAGTCATTGACTGATAAGACTTTTGAGACCACATCTGTCACAGGAATAGAAAACTGGAGGCCTGAGATCATGGAAATAGAATTGTTTAGACTTCCTGGATTCATCATTTCAAGTCACAAGAGTAAGTCCATTTAAATCATGGATAGGCAACCTAAGCCCGGAGGCTGGATCTGGCCCAATCGCCTTCTAAATCCGGCCCGCGGACTGTCCAGGAATCAGCGTGTGTTTACATGAGTAGAATGTGCCCTTTTATTTAAAATGCATCTCTGGGTTATTTGTGGGGCATAGGAATTCATTCATTGTTATTTTTTCAAAATATAGTCCAGCCTCCCACAAGGTCTGAGGGACAGTGGACTGGCCCCCTACTGAAAAAGTTTGCTGACCCCTGGATACCACATCTGTCACAGGAACAGGAAACTGAACATCTGAGATCATGGAAATAGATTTGTTAAACTTCCAGGATTTATTGTTTAAAGTCACAAGAGTAAATCCATTTAAATCAACCGACTTTAGTAATTAAATCTTAGTTTCCATGGGCCCACTAGGAATAACACTGGGTATTAGTAAAGGTAAAGGGACCTCTGACCATTAGGTCCAGTCGTGACCGACTCTGGGGTTGCGGCGCTCATCTCACTTTATTGGCCGAGGGAGCCGGCGTATAGCTTCTGGGTCATGTGGCCAGCATGACTAAGCCGCTTCTGGTGAACCAGAGCAGTGCACGGAAACGCCGTTTACCTTCCTGCAGGAGCGGTACCTATTTATCTACTTGCACTTTGACGTGTTTTCGAACTGCTAGGTTGGCAGGAGCAGGGACCGAGCAACGGGAGCTCACCCCGTCACAGGGATTCAAACCACCGACCTTCTGATTGGCAAGTCCTAGGCTCTGTGGTTTAACCCACAGCGCCACCCGCGTATTACCCATTCACAAATGCAGTAAACAAATGTGAGGTGAAAATTGCATTATTTGTATTATACCTTGTAGAATAATCTATGTTCTCTAACTTTTTGTTAAAATTATACATTTTCTCCCTAACATATGTAATATGTTTAGAAGGGTAGGAAATTCAGTAAGTTCAGTTGAGAATAATGCAGTATAGATAAGTAAATACAGTTTTGGGGGGCAAGATGAAAGCTGAATATAACACATAATATTATTTGCAACAAGAAATATAATGGAACAGCAATGAAAAACTGGCATGTGAATAATGATAGAGGAAATAAACACCTACAGTCAGGTTACAATAGTGCAACTTGGAAAAGTGTTAAGATTAGCACAAACAGGGATAGCTATTTTTCTTTATATACATATATATGAGCATAAGCGTTATTTATAAGCCTTATTTATAAACAATGCTCTGAATTAAACCTTGGAAAGAAAACACCTCAATCCTGTTTATAGGTTAGGTTGCTTAAATCTCACTGACAATGTGGATTTGAAAAAGTCAACTTGCAGCAATAATGCTCAAAAGGCAGAATGTGCCACCCACGGATGACCAATCAGATTAGTAAACTACAATGTTAAAAAACAAGGTAAAATAAAAACAACAATCTAATATTCTAACTGAAAGGTGATTTGCGTGTTTGCCTTCAGATTGCAGCCTAATAAATGTAAAACCCAACCTCTGGAACAAATAGTCTTGTAAGTGAATATTATAGTTTCTGCAGCACTCCATGAGAAAAAGGGAGCACAACATTGGTCTGCACCATACATTTAGAGCATGTCACACCACTTTACACAGTCCTGGTCTTCCCCCAAAGAATTCTAGAAACCTATAAGTGCACAAGGGCCAGTAGGTGGCACTTGACAGGGAGGTCAGAAGTGGCAAGCAGGAAAATAAAGTTAATTTTGTTTTACTTCTCCCAACATGGTGTCCTGCTGTTAACCGTACATGATGTCAGAGGGGAGTCCAAATGTGTCCCCTGTCAGGAGCTCGTCCTACTCTCGAGTAGGACCCTGGCAGAAACACATGCCCGACTGGCATGTTCTCTCCCTCCTGGTCTTTCATTTGGGAGCTTCAAAAGCTTTTTTCAGCCCGAACGTCACAGCTACTGATGCCAACAGACATCAGCACACTTAGGGATCCGCAGAGTGTTCGCAGTTTGCGTAACAGACCTCAGCAACTCAGCATTTTGGCTAATCTACGTTTATTTACATATAAACACACATGAAGCACTGCAACATGGCTCCCCCTCTCTCTAGCATCAGACAGCAAAGAGAAAAAGGACAAAGGACAATAGTCCCACTTCACAGAACACAGTAAAACAAACATCCTGTCTCTGTCACTTCCCACACTGTGGAGTCAAAACATACACCATCATGTGATAGACAGCAATCCCATGACTGCAGTCCCGGAGCAGGAATTCTAACAGTCAGAGGGGAGTCCACCTGTGTCCCCTACAGTGCTCTGATGGCATCACCAAACAGAAAGGGGGTCACAGGTTAACACTCAATAATCCTAGAAGCTCTAAAATCTTAAATGCAGCTCCCCCCAATTAAGTAAATCAATAAAAATACTTAACTAACTGAGGTTCTGCCCCCCCACACACACAACATAAAGCCTTTCCCCTCCCAACATAAATCCTAGCTATGCCCATGGATAAGGTGTTTCTTAATTTCAGGCTCTTTAGCATCTAATAGAATAGTATGATCATAGAGTTGGAAGAGACCCCATGAGTCATCTAGTTGAGCCCCCTGCAATGCACAAATCTCTAAAGCATCCATGATAGATGCCCATCCAACAATTTGTATCTTGTAGCCATTAAACAAGTTGAGTCCACATTGGGGTCCTTTTTGATAAGCAGGTTTCCTCCCATATGTTTGTACTTTCTAAGTTTTTGCATTCCTCATGTTGTATAAGAACTGTTTTAAAATAATAAATATTGAATTGTTTTATCCCTATGTTAAGGTTGACTAATGAATTGTGTTGTACAATTTTCTGTTCTTATATATTTTTTAAAACACACTCTAAGCTACAAAAAAGAGAGAAAAGTTTCCTGTAGAACAGTGGTTCCCAAACCTCTTTTCCTATGCACAACTTGAAAATTGCTGAGGGACTTGGCAGAGCATTTGATTATTTTTCTGCCCGTTGTCCTAGTTGCTGCATGATTTTTAATGTATTTTATTATATCTTTCATTTATTATATGTTATACTTGATTCCACACCATTGTAAATGTAATACAATAAAGTGCAATGTAAGACACAAAAGAGGCAATAAAAATACAATTAAAAATCAACATGAATATTTAATGCATCTTCAACCACAAATCCATTGACACCTGGGGACCACCTGAATGAAGTTCATGGACCACTGGTGGTCCTTGGACAACAAGTGAAATGCTCTGGTGTAGAGTGAGCCCAAATTGAAATGCTCTTTAAATGTTATTCTGGAGAAAGTAACTTCAAATGTCACATTTTAAAGAGAGTTTTTGCTATGGAAGGCACTTTTGAGATTTAAATTCCTTTTTAGTTAAAATTTTAATTCCATGAGAGAGTCTAATGGCTAACTAGAGCCCACTGGAGCTTACACCAGATGATGAGGTGGACTCTACTACCAGAGCTTTATACCACAATAAATCTATAACCGACACTGCAAGTCTCATGTGTATGTGTTTGTGTTTGCTATAAAAAGTAGATTAACACAGCTATCCCTCTAGAATATCCTACAAAAAGATTGCTAAAAACAGATTAATATAGGCATAAATATACAACTGTTTATCTGGAGTCTTGCACTGACAAGATAATGAAAAATACCAGGTGTTGTTAAGGATTAGCATTTGCTAGAAATGTATAACTATGTGTTGAATATTTATCTCATTACTTTTAAAAGAACACCAGTGAATCTTTCATGCTTTAAACCTCCGTTTCTCCCTCGGAAATTATCTTTCTTCCTAGCAATGTCTTCAGAAGAATTAAAATTAACCTTAGAGGTGAGGTAATTAGCATTTTGTTTTGAATGAAACTGAAGTTTGTAAAATGCTTGAAATGGTAACATTAGTATATAATTTGTTGTTATGTCTGAAGTGGCAAAGCCATAATGTAGCAAGGTAAATTTAAGTAAATAGATTTAACCTGAGTCTGTTAGAAACAAAAATAAAATAAAATAAAATGTAATTTCAGTAATATTCTAAAGCAATATTTTAAAACAAGTATCAATCGAACAGTTACTCAAGAAGGTAATAGGGATTCACTTGCCCAGGCTTATAACCAATACTTTGCAATTTAATCAGCTAAATTAAAAAGGTCCAAATAAAATATTTCTAAGGTGACAATTTAAGGCGAATAAATGATAAAACTGATGTTTCTCAACCTAGTGATAAAATCACTGCTTTAAATATTACTGGGTGTTCTCTTTGTTTCTATAAGTACTTTTAAATATATTGCAATTTCCCAAAGACAAAAAAATGTAATACAAAACCCATATGGTGTAATTTGCAACAAAGTTGCATGTAAGAGTAAAAATACAGTGGTACCTTGGTTTATGAACTTAATCCGTTCTGCAAGTCCGTTCTTAGACCAAAGCATTCTTAAACCAAGGCGTGCTTTCCCCAAGGACTCAATTTACAAATGGAACACACTTGACAGGAAGCGGAACATGTTCTGCTTCCAAGGCAAAGATCACAAACCAAAACACCTACTTCCAGGTTTGCAGCATTCTTAATCCAAGTTGTTCATAAACTAAGCTGTTCTTAAGGTGCCACTGTATATAATTAGAACAGACAACATCCAATTGTGTCACCCCTCTTGTAGAATAGAGTTCCTCTTCTGCAATTGGAAATCTGCTCCAGTGGGTTGAGGGAGGGCTGCAGCAGGGAGGAGAGGAGGGGGAAGTCCCGTCACCTTCATTTACTTGACATTGGGTACCCCCCCCCCAATGTAATCACATTTTTTTCCTGTTATTTCAGGATGAAAATATGGTTTTCATAGGCGGCTTGAAAACCCTTCTGCCACGTGCTGTCCGGAGTCTAATTCGAACTAATAAACTCAGCATTAGCAATACTTCTGGAATGGCAGAAGGTAAAAAAAATATTCCTCGTGTTGACTATAAGTGGAGATGTTAGTGATATTCTTTTATGATAGGCATTAACTAATCTGTTTTTCAGCTGAGGGTCACATTCATCCTTGCTCACTTACTGATAATAAAACGATCAAGTTGATGACTGAGGAGGAACCAATTTGTACCCCTCTGGGGGCAGGGGGGAGTTTGCTTGAGGGGCTGTACCTGGGCCCTAACATGAGGATTAGCCACCCTATTTTAAGAGGAAATCAACAGGTATTAAAAAAATGGCTTATAATGAAGAGGTTTTTAGCTCCCAACATAACTCGGATTAAAACCCTTCCGCAACAATTTGGTTCACTCAGTTTTATCACAAGAACATTGCTTTTTGTTCTCTCTTAGATCAAATTATTTCTTTATAATAATATTTTAGAATTAGGAATATTTCTTTTATATATCTAAAGCATCATAAGTATTTTTGATAAATGGGTATGCACAGTTCTTACATACAATGTAAAGTCGTTTCATAAATATGAATATCAACTTAGCACAATATTGTGAAGTTACATCTCAGGTAAGTTTCACTGTAATCAACAATAACGTATTGGAATATACATTTGATTTATAATACTAATAAAAAAGAGTATACATTTAATATCCCTGTTTTTTATTTTCATTTCATTTTTATTAAGTGAATCATGACAAGTATAACGTTCAGTCAAAAGATGGTTTATATACGCTGCATAATACTTAAAACCAGTTTGCTAAGGGTACAGCTTTAGAATTTAGAGTGCTACCTAACCACAATTACTTCTCAGCGTAGCCTTATTCTTTTTATTATTTATGCCACAAATACTAACTTTTCACTTGCAAGTTTCACTGTTTGTAGCCTGAGGCTGTTTACAAACTGCATAAAATAAAACTTGACTCATTGGCTTAATATAGCAAGCCTACTAGTTGATGCTATTTAAAGTTGTTTGCCTTTTCTGGTTGTTTTGCCTTTTTGTCCTCAGTTTGAAAATTCATGAATAGGTTGGAGAACTTGTTGCAAGCCAAAAACATAGAACAACATACAGAAAAAGAATGTGACAAAATGTTGTGTATTAAAACCAGTGAAGAAACTACATCTGAATCAAAGGCACATCCATTTATTTCCCTGCCATAAAATAGCAGAAAAGCCTCTCCTCCCTACAAGAGGGGAGGTGTTGTGGGCGGGACGTGATTTCCGCGTCACCCACTCACCTGGCTGGCGCACCACGCCCACAGGTAAGCGCCCAACCGGGCGGCTTGGAGGGGACATGAACTGCAGTCTAAGTTACTGCTGTGCTAGCCATTCTGCCTCATTTTCCGCCTTCCCGTTGCGAGTCAGAAAACTGGTATTGCAGCACAAATGTCAGTCCCTAGCCTCAAGTCTGGATTCTTGATTCAGCTTAGCATATGTTTCCAATATACTATTCACGTGTTAAACATGGGTAATGTTGAAAACATCAACTGAAAATGGAATGCCTGAGAAATACTTTCAGAACACATACCGATTGCATGTGTATAAGTTTAAATGTGAGCTTTGTAATGTTCGCAGGATTTAAACAGGCAAACGTTGTGATTCTTCACAAATCTCTTGCGGATGACTTTGAAAAATTTTGCCAAGCCAATGATGGGCCACTTCCACTGCTGTATAGAAGTAAACCAGGGGAATGGAAATGCCCGTCTCTGAGCAGTGATGCTGATATTAGGTATGCATAGATCAAAGTTCTGCCAGGTGGCATAAGATTATTGTGCTTTTTCTTTTCCTTGCATAATCAGGATTTTAGTGCTATCTCTTAATTTTTTCCTGCTGTTTCTAATGTCCAAATCATTCTGTACCATGCTGGTAAATTTAGGTTGACCACTGTCTTATCGTAATTAGCAAATGCAATATTAAGTCCCATAAACGTGGAAAGCAAAGATAATTCTCGAGTAAATTCAGTATTGTCGTTTGTAATATTCCTTATGTGCATCTGACCAAAGCCTTCCTATCAGAGTTCATTCCCACCAAAGTTTGAAATATGTGCCTTGCGTCCCGGATCCCCACCAGCACACAAACCTGAGCATGGAGGACATGCAAGCCAGTTGCCATGGCATTCTATAGCACCAATGTACTTTTTACCGCAGCTTCTTTAATATTATCAGAAACTGTTTTCACAGGGTTGCTAAAACCACAATTTGTCCTCAGATTTGTTTTCAATTACATATGCCAGATCTTTTTTTCAATTTACATATGCCAGAACTTTCTTACATTTGCATCTAGGAAAGACTCACAAAAACACCCACACACAAAACCAGTCTTATAATTATTCCAGAAAGACTTCTCTGGGGTGTGTTTGTGTGCGTGTGTGCATGAGATATAGAAGGCTATTACACTATAATGCTATGGTTAAAACCTCATAAAATATGAATGTCATGGTGTTACAGTGCTACGGCTCTATTTCATTTTTTAAAAAACCCCAAGAAAAATGGTTTAGTGATAATTGAGACGTTTATTTTTTAAAAATAAATAGGAGTAATGAAATGGCACCCACCACAAGCGTTATAAGTGAACATGTGCCTCCACCCACAGCAGCTGTCTAATGCCCATTGGTGTGGACAAAACATAGTGGAATGTACATGCAGAAATAGGGCAGTATCCTGATAGCGCATTGAGTTCAGTGGGCCATGCTCCAAGTTAGTAAAAGAGTGCAGCCTGAATCCTGTTACCCAGTTCAAATAATCATTTTCAGAAGGCTCTTGGGGATAATATTTGTTTATTTTTGCAGAACTGACTGTCTGCAGTACAAGAAATACGAGAATGGAGCATGTACAGGCACTCTGACAAGTCTGAAGGAATTTTCTGAGCAGCTTAAAGACATGGTGACCTTCTACCTGGGCTGTAGCTTCACCTTTGAAAAGGCGCTCCAGGAAGTTGGCATTCCTGTAAGAAATGTCGAACAGAAATGTAATGTTAGCATGTACAAGGTAAGAAGAGATTATTTGGTGGCTTCTTATTTAGTGGTTTACATCAGCAAAGCAAAACCTATTACAACAGCATCCCTCCCCCCCCAAAAAAATATGAACCCAGTTTTCTATCCAGACAAAGAAGTGAGTCATGTCAGTATTTCTTTTTTATCTCTATGTTCTCAGTATTATGACATCCTACAAATTCTGCAAGCTGATAAGGACATATTGGGCTGTGAGGGAGGCTGGTTAAAAAGATTTTGCAAACGTATACACATGCATATCCAGGGAATCCTCCATATATAGGGGGAGGGGGCATTAATAAGCTCATTTTTGGGTGATCCTGTTTTGCTTCCAGCGTAGCTTTTCTTGGAAATATCCTCAAATAGTTCTTGAAACGTATATTTTTAAAACTTTACCAGACTGCTGTGCCTTGCTGGGATACAGAACATTTTCACTGTGACCTAGTAGCAACCATGAGACCTATTCCTAAAGACAAATTGGAAGCAGTTGTGCGAACAACCTATCTGATGAAAAAGGCACATGGAGCACCAATTCACATTGGTAACCCTGGTCAGTGCATAAGAAAAAAAAATGTAATTAAAATATCTGTATTTGTGTGTGAAAGAGAGACAGAGACGTATCATAGGCTGCTAATGTGTTTCTCTAGGGAAACGTATTTCCCATCCAGGCTTAGTTTTGGGATGACTTTATACACAAATACAGGAATAGCCTAAGTGAACTTCACATTGACACCTAATGTAAGACTTGGGCCCAATTTACACAATATATTTAAAGTTGTATAATCCACTTTAAACAGTCAAGACTTCCCCCAAAGAATCACAGGAAGTGTGATTTGTTAAGGGTTCTGAGAGTTGTTAGGAGACCCCATTTTCCTCTCAGAGCTACAGTTTCCAGAGTTGTTTAACAGAATTCCCTGGGAATTCTGGGAATTGTAGCTCTGTAAGGGGAATGGGATCTTCCAGCAACATTCAGCCAACCACACCCTTAAGAAAGTATGTCCACGAACAGGACATAAGGCTGCCATACTGTAATTCAGTGGGACTTACTTCTGAGTAGACATGTATAGGATCGCTTCGTTAATTGCTGTTTTATAATAGCAGTCCGATGTCTTTGGGTTTTCCTTTAGCTTAAACCATTCCTCCTGCTGCAAAATTCATATGATTTTATTGTGTTTGGGATTACAGGTTTGTTAGGAATCCAAGACCTTTCCAATCCAGACTATGGCGATGCAGTACAGGCTCAACCTGGGGATATTCCAGTCTTTTGGGCCTGTGGGGTTACAGGTGCAGAAGCTGTCAGCAATTGCAGTATGTATAAATGATGAAGATTTTTTAGAATTTCTCCTATAGTATAGAAAATTGCTACCTTTTCTACCAAATTTAAATAAAAACTCAGCCAGAAAAACCTGACAGATTTGTTTCCAGTGTGGGTCCATATACTGTTCTATTAAGCCTGACCTAAACTTGGAAATTGCCTTTCCAAAAAAAAAAGCTATCACCCTCTACCACAACTCCAACCTTGTCCGGATGCTGCCACAGACATAAAAAGGAAAGACTATTGGCTACTGTCAAATTTTCTGCCAAATACTACGTTATTCATCTCACTGCCTTCTATTTAACATAAGTTGCATAACTTATGAAACTTAGATTCATTTCATTGTAAACATCAAAACAATGCTTAAAGAGTCATTTATTAAGTAATGTGTTTTTTTTCATAAATATTCATATTCACTTGAATTTTTTCCTTTCCTGACTGCAGACAAAGTGCTGCAAATTCCACTTCAATTTCAATTTCCAATGAACATCCGTACTTTCCAAAGACTTCCAAAATTGTTTCTCAGCTCCTGTACAGGGACCATACTTAAATGTGGGGTCTGTCTCCTGACTGGAGGTACAGCCAGACAACTCTGCCGTTCAGGTTAAAATAGGGTACCCCAGAGGTGAGCAGTTCAAGCCTTTGCTTGCAATGCTACTGCTGCCCTTGTTTATTTTTATAGGGTTGCCAAGTTCCGAAGGGCACAAACCCAGACACCCCTCCCATCAGGACACCCCCCACCCCTCATCTCTGACGTTTGCCCCCTGCCTGCTGCTAACCCCTTCCTCACCCACCTGCTCTCCCCCTCCTTTCCTCCCCCCTGTTAGGGTTGCCATATTGACAGACCCTTCACACGAAGGCTCCCACTTGCTGGTGCCGGGGGCGATTCCTGGCCACTGAGCGGACTCCACTATGGGCTCCACCTCTCCCTTTCAGGCCTTTGGCCTCCAAATGGCCACCGGCAAGGTCTTATCCAGGATCAGGCCTGGGCAGGGAGGTTCGTTGCTCCGCGGCCTCTCTGGTCCTGCCTGGGCCTTCCCCTTTGGCGTGGTTAAACAGCGGTACCCAACATATTTTTATTGCTGCATGGGTGAGTACAAAGAAGAGAGTTTTATTGCTTAAAAGAGATCTGTCCTCCCACAAGATTGCCTATTTGTCTTTTTCAGAGTCTCCGCTTGCTTTTACCCATGCTCCTGGTTGCATGTTTATTACTGACCTGAAAGTTGAGGATGCCGCAGCGGGTGATGGTAAAGATGTCCCTGAAGTCTATCGTATTTGTCAGAATCCTTTGCATTACAGCATCACGTCAGCAGCAGCTGTGCGAAAAATCAGATGTCTGGAAGACATGGTAGGAGTAGACCCAGGTAGACGCATTCTTATTGAAAAACTTTATTGTAAAGATTTGTCTGCAGCACATTTTCTTGCATCAACTCTTGTCAAAGGGAAGATCGAGACACTAAACGGGCGCTCTGTTCCTGATAATATGCATATGCCCATTTCTTTGTCATGAGCCCCATAGAGATATCATGGAGGGTAATGGAAGGGTTGTGAGGAGGAAGCAGGGCTGGGAAAGGACAGGGAGTTGGAACCAGAGGACCCAAGAGAGGGCTTGATTGAGATGAGAGAGATGAAATCAATAAACATCTAAGCTGGAAGAGGGGGCCAGTGATCAAGAGAGTCAGGAGCTGGATCCTGAGGAAGGTTCAAGGGCCACCTCCACTGCCAACCCCTACTGCCACTCCTGTCAGTAAGGAGTCTCCTCCAGGAAAGCTACTGGAGAGCAAGTTGGAGCCAGCACCTCCAGCATCAAGGATACAGAGACACCAGGCCCCACCCACTTGCAAAAGTGCCTGTTAGGTTGCCCAGAGCAAAGACGCCTGTCATTTGCCATGCTAAAGCTTGTGCTTGCCCCTCTCTTCAAAAGGAAGAGAAATGGGGCTGGATTGTTGGTTGGGTCATGAACACTTAGCCATGCAATTCAACTGCTGCCTCTTTAACCCTTGCCTTACCTATGTGTCACTCATTTTCCATGCGTTGAAAAATTTAACAGAAACAGAAGGAAGCCAATGCTAATAACTCCTGCAAAAACTGAAGCATTCAATATATACCTATTCTTATTCTTGTTCTTATCATTAATTCATATGCTGCCCATCAGACCGGGTTGCCCCAGCCACTTTGGGCAGCTTCCAACAAATTAAACACATTAAGCCCAGGAAAACATCAAACATTGAAAACTTCCTTATACAGGGCTGCCTTCAAACATCTTCTAAAAGTCAGATAGTTGTTTATTTCCTTCCGACATCTGATGGGAGGGCATTCCACAGGGCATGGTTAACCTCTGTATTGCATCATGGGCAAGAAGAAAGAGCTGCAAAGCAGCACTGAGTTTTTAATTCTGGTGCCTTGGTTCTGTGAGATTGTTGTTGTTTAGTCATTTAGTCGTGTCCGACTCTTCGTGACCCCATGGACCAGAGCACGCCAGGCACTCCTGCCTTCCACTGCCTCCCGCAGTTTGGTCAGACTCATGTTTGTAGCTTCGAGAACACTGTCCAGCCATCTTGTCCTCTGTCGTCCCTTTCTCCTTGTGCCCTCAATCTTTCCCAACATCAGGGTCTTTTCCAGGGAGTTTTCTCATGAGGTGGCCAAAGTATTGGAGCCTCAGCTTCACGATCTGTCCTTCCAGTGAGCACTCAGGGCTGATTTCCTTAAGAATAGATAGGTTTGATCTTCTTGCAGTCCATGGGACTCTCAAGAGTCTCCTCCAGCACCATAATTCAAAAGCATCCATTCTTCAGCTTTCTTTATGGTCCAGCTCTCACTTTCATACATCACTACTGGGAAAACCATGGCTTTAACTGTACGGACCTTTGTTGGCAAGGTGATGTTTCTGCTTTTTAAGATGCTGTCTAGGTTTGTCATTGCTTTTCTCCCAAGAAGCAGGTGTCTTTTAATTTCGTGGCTGCTGTCACCATCTGCAGTGATCATGGAGCCCAAGAAAGTAAAATCTCTCACTGCCTCCATTTCTTCCCCTTCTATTCTGTGAGATATTGCAGTGGATATTGTGAAAACCTGTTGTGGATCAGCATTCTCCTCAGATTAGTCCTTGCTTGAAATGTGTGGATGAATTAGTTATCTAAATGTTTAGTTAGCTAAATGATAGTTATCTAAATGTTAATATGTTACTAGCAAGGCTCAGGGATGATTTCACTCAAAAAGTTGTTTCATCTGCCTTTAGGGGACAGAGGTGTGACTCATCTGCTTACTCAAGATGAACTCCTGAAGGCATGTCTGTCCATTTCCCATGCCCAGTCTGTGCTGATTACTACTGGATTCCCTACCCACTTCAAGTATGAGCCGCCTGAAGAGAACGATGGGCCTCCAGGGGCTATTGCAATGGCAGCTATGTTGAAGGCCTTGGGGAAGAATGTAGCTATTGTAACTGATCAAAGAGCTCTGAATCTGAATGAAAAGATCATCAAGGAAGCTGTTGAACAAGGTACGGCATGGCCATTGTAAAAATAACTTGATTATGTATTGCTTGCTTTAAAAACAAGAGTTTTCAGTGGAGCTAAGAGGAAGATAAGTAAATATCTTGAATTTAAAAAAATAAAAATGACCACATTCTCAACTTCCAAGAAGATATAGGGAGGACTCAGCCTGGACCCAGGTCATATACAGTCATGGGGAAAAGAAAGTGCACCATGTATCACCATGGCCAGATCAGACATCTCCTAAGTATTATGTTTATCATGGGGATGGTACCAGAACTGGCATCCCCATGATTCTCTCTCCTCTGAAAAGTTAGGACAGCCCTTGGTCCATGTCTTCATAGCACATTCCCCACATGTGGATAAGATGGTGTATATAGTGTTAATTAAATCCCTGACCATTGGCCTAGTTGACTGGATCTGGTGGGAATTGGACAGCAGAAACGCCTGGATTCTTCAACCCTGAGTTGAATGGGTTTTTTGCAATACCAAAATACAGTGGTACCTCGGGTTAAGAACTTTATTTGTTCCGGAGGTCCCTTCTTAACCTGAAACTGTTCTTTACCTGAAGCACCACTTTAGCTAATGGGGCCTCCCGCTGCCACCGTGCCGCCAGAGCACGATTTCTGTTCTCATCCTGAAGCAAAGTTCTTAACCTGAGGTAATATTTCTGGGTTTAGTGGAGTCTGTAACCTGAAGCGTATGTAACCTGAAGCGTATGTAACCCAAGGTACCACTGTAAATCTATGGCTGGGTCTACATTCTATGTCTCTGGTTTTGCCTTCTTGCAGTAACACTCCACCTCCTCTTCCCAAGACCATTTATCTTTGTAAAAGTGATGGAAGGCCATATGAGTAAGGCATGAATGAGCTAGGTCCACGCTTCTCAAACCACTGAGCAGCTGATAAAATGTTATAATTGCAAGGAAATAATGCAATTATTGCGTGAGCCTTGCTGTCTTTTTATCCTCCACTGAATATATTATGTTTCTGTTATATTCTAGGGATATTGGAGACACCGGTCCCTATAATTAGCTATCATAGTGATTCTGTGGATTCAGCTTTGCTGTTTTTGTGTGAAGATGGAAATCCAGAAAAGCCTAGGTATGTTCCTTAAAAAAGCAAAGGAGTAAGCAAACTGAGGAAGACACAACTGTTTATCTCATGGCAGTCTTTAAGCCCTCTTACTAGTAAAGAGTGAAGGGTGAGAATAAAGACCTGATGGGGGAAAGTGGAAGAAGCAGGTTGCCAGTGGAATTATAATAGCCAGTTTCGAATAGTCCAGAATAGTACAGGGAGATATATGTGAATGGAGGGATTGCAGGAAGGTAGGGGCAAGAGATAGTGGCATTCGCCTGACATGGGGGCTGTACAAGAACGAAGAAAAGGAGCAGAAGTAAATCTGTTAGATCTGAATCGTGGAACTGCTCCTCATAATATAATTTCTCCCCCATTAACTAGATTTAATCACCTGATAGCAATTGAACGTACTGGGATGGCTGCTGATGGCAATTATTATAATGCAAGAAAAATTAATATTAAGCATTTAGTGGATCCCATTGATGAACTCTTTCTAGCTGCACAAAATATCCCAGGAATTACTACAACAGGTAAGTGTGGTGCCATTTTTGTTCAATAACCTAAAGGGATGTACTACTATTACATGCTAGTGAAAACCATAAAGGTTGATGTCTGTTATTCCAGTTTGTTTGCCGTGTAAAACTTTGCAGAAGTAAAATGACCGATGACGGTTCAGGACTGAATTTCAAGATGGATAAAGAGTTGGTCAGGAAATAGCTACTTTGGTCAGGAAATAGCTACTTTGAATTCAAGACCCAATGAGCTTCCTGTTGGACTTTACGGACCTCTGTCTATGATCACTGGGAAATCCTGGGGGAGGGGTGAAGTGATACAAGACTGGAGATGGGCAAATATCCCAATCTTCAGAAGGAGTTAAAATGATGATCTGGGAGGTTGCAGATCTCTAGCACAGGTTAGAAAGGCAGTAATGTTGTTCTGTAAGATGAAAAGTCCTTTGATTATATTGAATGGTCATTTTATATCAAAAGCTTTTAATAATGGGATAACCTTTGGGAAATGGGTCCAAGCTGCATACTCAAAATGGGTTTAGTAAGCTTGCTCAAATCCTAAAGTGAAATAAAATGATTAATGGGCTTACAGTACCTACTTTTAATTTGACAAAGTTGCATTTATTTGTTTTATACGCAAATATATTGATCTGGATTTTTATTTTTTTTCCAAAATGTACCTGATGTACTCTTGGTTGACCATTGCAGCCCCCAATAAATCATGGTCCATGTTGGAATCCATGTTGATTAAGACAGATGTTGACTTTCACTTTGGTCAAATGAAATGTAGGTCTATATTGATTAACTGTTGAATCCTTAATTGGCTATTACTATATTGCCTCCTATTGCTAGAGAAGAAACATTACTTTAACATGACCATTTTAGAAAAAAAAGAAGAAATGACATTTTAAATACTCTGTTAACAATTCTAAACGAAGAACTGTTCAGCAGATGAAGTGCATTGAGAAGCGTTGAGATGTCCTTTAGCAGGAAAATGATTAGAGCTGTTAACAAGAAAATGATAAAACTCAATGCCTGCATCCCTCCTCTCTGTGTAACAAACTTGACCACAATTCTAAACAATTAGTTTAGCAGCAAAAGTAGAATCTGGACTATATGCCAGAATGAGATGAACTTTATTACGGTCATAGACCAGGATTAAGAAAAGCATATAGATAAAATAGCAGTTGGGATTTTTGACCGATAATTGTTAGGGCAAATGAGGACAAGGAATCAGGCATAAAACATCCGAATAAAATACAAGATTAAACACAGATAATGGGTGGATAAAAAACTAATAATTAAAACAGATAAGAGCTAAAAACCAACAAAGACACGCAGTTAAAACAACTGTAAGAGCAAAAGAACTAAAAGACTCGCAGATAAGACAACTATAAGAGGCTGCAGAGTAAAGGTAAAGGTACCCCTGCCCGTACGGGCCAGTCTTGACAGACTCTGGGGTTGTGCGCCCATCTCACTCAAGAGGCCAGGGGCCAGCGCTGTCCGGAGACACTTCCAGGTCACGTTGCCAGCGTGACATTGCTGCTCTGGCGAGCCAGAGCCGCACACAGAAACGCTGTTTACCTTCCCGCTAGAAAGCGGTCCCTATTTATCTACTTGCACCCGGAGGTGCTTTCAAACTGCTAGGTTGGCAGGCGCTGGGACCAAGCAACGGGAGCGCACCCCGCCGCGGGGATTCGAACCGCCGACCTTTCGATCGGCAAGCCCTAGGCGCTGAGGCTTTTACCCACAGCGCCACCCGCATCCCTTGGCTGCAGAGTAGAAGCCTCTTAAATAGAGGACACTCACAACGTTAAAAACTGCTGTGCAAATATGGTTAAAACAGACAATTAAAGCAATATATAACACTAAATTTAGAAACAATGTACAGCAATAAACTGTCTCAGGGAGTTGACTCAGAATCACCCATGGAACCGTGTTTGGGGCTTTTCATGCCGGACTATTTTGAGTTGGGCGATGGTCTGTGCCTACAGATCTGTAGACAGAATCTGGCGACCATCCAGGTCATCTTCTGATCTTTGCCCAACAGCAAAAGGTCAAATTTTTGCTTTTGCGGGAGGTCGGCAAGCTTCACCAGTAGGGGATCCATGATCTTACTACGTGCCTCTTTATAAAAGGGACATCTAAAGAACAAGTGTTCTGGGCTTCCTATCTCTCCCAATGGACCGGCGCAAAGTCTCTGAGTGTATGGGACTTTTTTAAAGGTTCCTTCCATGACCGGCGAGGGAAGAGCCGAGATTCTGGCGAGTGTAAAGGCCCTTCGTGCATCCCTAGATACGAGAAAGAAGAGATATGCTTCCGGTGCGGCTATATATCTCTCAATTTCTCCAATTTTATAGTCGAGGCACTTTGCGCAGTCCTGTTGTCTCTCGGTATCTAATATTCTTTGCCTGACTGTGGCTTTTGCCTGGCCCAAGCCCAGACTTAGAAGGGCTTGAGGGGCAAAACCCAGTTTCTGGAGGGTGTTCAGAATTGCAGTCTGCCAGCCTGACTGGAATTGATCGCAGAGGATCAGTGGGGCTATCCCTCAGGGGGAGCAGATTCAATGTCAGCCATTTGTAAATTGATGTTAAGCAAATGCTAGCCTCCACTCTCATCATCCCCGTTTCCAATCTCACCCATGCGTTTGATACACATCTGCGGACTTGGAGGAGAGCTCTAAGAAGTCTAGATTGAACTCTCTCAAGGGGGGAGAAAGCAGAGAAAGGCAGACCCAAAAAGGAACCATACAGGAGTTGTGCCAAAGTTTTGGCCTTGTATAATTTTAGAGCTGCGGGGACGAAGAAGCCCCCTTGTGCACTGAAGAATTTAAGAATACAATTTGCGGTTTTTTTCTGCTGAGCTCCCAATGGAGTTTATGTGTAGTTTGTTGGTTCCTGAGGCCTGTACCACCATTCCTAGATACTTGTAGTTTGTGACTTGGAGTTCCCAGCTTCTAAGCTTTAGTTTTCCCCCAAAAGCTAGTATCTTGGTCTTTTGAAAGTTGATTTTGAGACATTCAGAGTCGCAGTATGCTGCGAGCTTTCTTAGTGCTCTTTTGAGTCCAATGAAGGTTCTAGATAGTATTACCGCATCATCGGCATATAGCAGGACCGAAATATGCCGATTTGCAAGCTTCGGCGGGTGGAGTTCTGAGTCACTGAGTGCAGATACTAAGTTATTTAGATAGAAATTAAATAGTAGAGGGGCCAATAGGCACCCTTGCCTGACTCCTTTGAAGGTTTTTATTGGGTCCGTTAGGTGTCCTAGGCGGCTGCACCTGACTCTAAGAGCCGTGTTTGCGTGCAGTGCCTGAATTAGGAGCAGGAGCCTTCTATCTATATTGGTACCCTGTAGTCTGTCCCAGAGTCTGGTTCTGGAGACTGAATCAAAGGCTGCTTTTAGGTCAACGAAGGCCACGTACAGTGAGGCCTGCCCTCCTGATTTGTATTTGTCGATGAGATGTTGTAACGTTAGGCAGTGATCTATCATTCCGGGGTCTGAAGCCTGCTTGTTCTATTGCCAGGATATCTTCATTCTCTAGCCATTCTGTAAACTTATTAAGGAGGTGCTTTGAGTAGAGTTTACTAATCACACTTAATAAGCTAATCGGCCTATAATTCGCTGGGTCCCCTTTGTTGCCCTTTTTATAGATTGGGACTATTATGGCTGTTCCCCATTCCCTTGGGATGCGGCCAGTGTCATCTATGTAGGTGAAGAGGGTGGCTAAGAAAGGTGCCCACCAATCCGCCTGTGCTTTTATCATTTCTGGTGTAATGCCGTCTGAGCCTGGGGCTTTGGCCGTTTTCAATTGGTTTATATATAATTTCACTTCAGTTATTGAAACTGGAGGCCATTTAGCCAGTTGTTCTATATCATAATTCCGTAGTGGAGGTTCAGCATCCTTGTACAAAGATTGGAAGAATGAGACCCAAAGGCTAGGGGGAATTTGTGAGGTTTAGGGGGGAAATAGCTTTATGGGTGCCAGAAGCTACCAGTTTCCAGGATAGTGTCTGATCTTTTGCTTTTGCCGCACTAATTAATTCTAGCCAGCATTTTCTGGTATAGGCATTCTTTTGGTGGAGTATTAGGTCTTTATACTCTTTTTTTAGGGCACGGACAGCAAGATAGGCTTGGTGTCTGACAGAATTTTCGGCTGTCAGGGCAGCTTTGTAAGCATTTTGCAGGGCTTTCTTTGCCTCAAAGCAGGTGTAATCAAACCAGGGTTTATTTGATGTTATTGGTTTAGTTGGCCTTTTTTCTGTGGTATTAAAAAGATAGGGTTTCAATTGTTGGAGCAGGCTCTCATACTTGGAAACTGGGTCTTCAGGCCTAGGATTACACCCAAAGTCAGTTAAAATTGTACGGAGTTTTTCAGAGGTTAGAATCTTCTTCAGTTTGGAGTCAAGTGCAGGGGTCTATTTGACTCGGCAGCCAGGTCGCTCTAATGCGGTGATCTCTGCAGGGTATACTGTTCTCAGGAAGGGTGACTCGTTTAACGGAGACACCTGGAGGTGCAAAGGGAAATGGTCCCCCTCTATGAATGGGAGCACTTTTAAATTCACTATTTTTGTTAGCAATTCGCTGTCCGCCAACATATAATCAATTGTGCTGGATCTTACCCCAGACATGAATGTATATTCCCCGGGGATGTCGCCCCTGGTGCAACCATTTAGGATATGAAGACTTAGCTGCCTAGAGAATTTGAGGAGGCAGGCTCCAGCAAAATTTGAATGTTGATCCTTTGACTGCCTTGGTAGTTGTAAAACCTCCAGGCCCAAATCGTCAGGGTACCCTATTTTTTGCCTGTATTTGGTTTGTAAACTGGGGTCATCAGGACCTAACCTTGCGTTTAGGTCGCCCACCAGCAGGACCTTTGCTCCCGGATAATATATGCCAGGATTAACAATTTACCAATAATTTAAATTTTCCTTGATAATTTGATGTTAAATTAGTTTAAGCATTGCTGTGTTTTAACTTTGTATTCATGGATTTCATGTAGTTGTTGTTCAATGCTTTTAGTTTTATAATAAAGGTAAGGTAAAGGTACCCCTGGGGACGCAGGTGGCGCTGTGGGTTAAAGCCTCAGCACCTAGGACTTGCCGATCGAAAGGTCGGCGGTTCGAATCCCTGCGGCGGGGTGCGCTCCTGTCGTTCGGTCCCAGCGCCTGCCAACCTAGCAGTTCGAAAGCACCTTCGGGTGCAAGTAGATAAATAGGGACCGCTTACTAGCGGGAAGGTAAACGGTGTTTCCGTGTGCTGCGCTGGCCTGCCAGAGCAGCGATGTCACACTGGCCACGTGACCCGGAAGTGTCTGCGGACAGCACTGGCTCCCGGCCTATAGAGTGAGATGAGCGCACAACCCTAGAGTCTGGCAAGACTGGCCCATACGGGCAGGGGTACCTTTACCTTTACCTTTAAAGGTACCCCTGCCCGTACGGGCCAGTCTTGACAGACTCTAGGGTTGTGCGCCCATCTCACTCTATAGGCCAGGGGCCAGCGCTGTCCGGAGACACTTCTGGGTCACGTGGCCAGCGTGACATCGCTGCTCTGGCGAGCCAGAGCCGCACACGGAAACGCTGTTTACCTTCCCGCTGGTAAGCGGTCCCTATTTATCTACTTGCACCCGGGAGTGCTTTCGAACTGCTAGGTTGGCAGGCGCTGGGACCGAGCAACGGGAGCGCACCCCGCCGCGGGGATTCAAACCGCTGACCTTTCGATCAGCAAGCCCTAGGCGCTGAGGCTTTTACCCACAGCGCCACCCGCGTCCCATTTTATAATAAAAGTTGTATGTTAAATAAGAATTGAACCACCTAGCTATTAAAAAACAACAATACACCCAACCATCCACTAAAGTAACATTGTATGCTTCATTAACGGTTTATACTGTATTTATAAATAAGTATGATATTTCACCATACCTTGTCAATTTTAATTTAGGCATTGGGGATGGAGGAAATGAACTGGGGATGGGAAAAGTGAAAGAAGCTGTAAAGAAGTATATTAAAAATGGAGACGTTATAGCTTGTAACGTGGACGCTGATTTTACAGTTGCTGCAGGTAAGTGAAGGACAGGCCAAATGTATATATGAAATTGGAACACTTACATGGAACAGAGGGCATTATTAAACAAATGCATCTGATCTGTGCAAGTCACTTGCACAATGTGACTTACCTGCCTCACTCCCCCTGCATGTGCCCGACAACACCCCCCACCCCACAATTTTCTGGCTGCTTCACTACTGGCATTTATTATTATTATTATTATTATTATTATTATTATTATTATTATTATTATTCCCATTGAGATGCCAAGATGAAATTTTGCAGGTAGCTTATCATCATCATCCTCATCATCATCTCTTGATTCTTCCATAGAAGAGAGTTAGGTACCAAGACAATAATAATAATAATAATAAATTTTATTTATACCCCGCCGTCCCCAGCCAAGACCGGGCTCAGGGTGGCTAACACCAGGTATAAAAACAATTGATTAAAATACAACTTAAAAACAAGATTAAAATACAACATTAAAATGCAGCCTCATTTCAGTAGAAACTCAAATCAAAAACTTTTTGGGGGATGAAAACGTCAAGTCTTTACCAAGGCCAACTACCCAGACTGGTCCTACGTGGGCCAGAAAAAAGCCAGGGAAGTCCTCAAATAGGAGTTCCACCACAGAAGGAGAAAGGAAAAAGGAAAGAGGGGGAGGGAATCAAGTTGATTCCAAGCCAAAGGCCAGGCGGAACAACTCTGTCTTACAGACCCTGCGGAAATAAATCAAATCCTGCAGATCTGATCAGGTATCATAAGGGGGAGTGTGAGACGTGGAGTGCTTAATATATGCAACAGTGATTTTTGCATTTTTGTACGTTTGCTTTGCTGTTGTTGCTGTTCAGTTTTAAATCAATTATTTGCATCCTATACATTGTGACCATTTGTGATGGCTTATAGCTTTTAGCAGTAAAGATTCATTCATTCAGATTCTTCCATAGGCTTAGCAAACTTAGTAGACAGAGAAATCTGCCATCCTCTCTTTGTGTCTTTGTTCCATCCTGTCTTCCTCAGCTCACATGGTGTTCTGCCCCCTTCCTTCTCCCCCCCCCCCCGATTTTCAAAGCTCTTGCAAAACACCATAATTTTCCTTCAGCCTATCACCTACACTGAAACCCCAAACCTTTTCTTTCCCTGCCCACTAGCACACACAGGTGAAGGAGGAGCCCCTCCCTGCATGTCTGGCAGCCTTTGCCCTCCGATGATTTCCTTGATAGTCCCCTGCTAATGGCCTAATTTAGCAGCTATGCCAAGTTGGCCTGCTGTTAGCATAAGCTTAGCCCAGGGGTTACAGCATTTGTCACAGTTTTAACCAAACCTTGATTAATTCTATCATCTACTAAATCCAGACATTATGGGGATCCACACGCCCCCCCCCCCCGTACTCATAACAATATGTTTGTTCCTTATCTAACCCAACCATGATTCACTGGCATGACCCAGTGGAATCCCACCATAGAGGAAGCCCACCAAAGGATTGTACACTGCCGTCTGAGCCTAGACCTAACAGTGAGGGAATGCTTCTCGCTTTTAAATTTCCTTCTATCATGTAGGTGTCAATGGCATTAAATTCAGCTGGACACTGAGATCCAGCGCTGAAGGCCTTCTGGCGGTTCCCTCATTGCGAGAAGTGAGGTTACAGGGAACCAGACAGAGGGCCTTCTCGGTAGTGGCACCCCCCATGTAGAATGCCCTCCCTTCAGATGTGAAGGAAATAAGCAGCTATCCTATTTTTAAAAGACATCTGAAGGCAGCCCTGTTTAGGGAAGTTTTTAATATTTAATGCTGTATTGTTTTTAACACTTGATTGGGAGCTGCCCAGAGTGGGTGGGGTATAAATTTTTATTATTATTATTATTATTATTATTATTATTATTATTATTATTATTAAAGAGCTGGCAGTCCGTAGGTTTATAGGTTGTTCGGTTGATACCTTGTTTGAACACCTTACAGACATTCAAAACTTGTGCGTTCTATTTAATAGTATTTTTTTTTCTTTTTAAGGGGTTTCCAACTGGGGAGGCTATGCTGTTGCTTGCGCCCTATATATCCTCAACACCTGTGAAATACATGACCGCTATCTGAGGAAAGCTGTGGGATTTCCTAGGTCATCTGCCAAAATGAAATGGTCATCAGCACTTCCATCTGTGGCCAAGGTATTCTCTTTGAAGAAGATAGTCCCAAAAGATTGTATTAGGATATTGACCCTTTCACATCTAGGCCTCATTTTCTGATATGTAGAAGTCATCACTGTTGTAGCCGTGGGAAAAGAGCTGTGCCCATTAAGTGCTTAAGGGACAAAGACATATTATAAGTCCCCCTCTTCCAGTGTGGCTAAAATGCCGTGCTGCTGTATGCAAAATTCTCCAGAAACTAATTTCAGAAACTTAGAATGTTGTTTTCTATTGCTAGTGTTCTGTATATACAATTACTAGTAATTTTATTATTATAGTATTTTGTTTTGTTTGGTGTTGTTTTATATATTTGTACAAATTTTCTTCTTTAAACACTAGTCATTGGCCTGATATTAATATGAGACTAAAAACATTTTCATTTTTTACTCCCAACAATGACTGCCTGAACATTGGTTGGTTCATTTTTAAAGGGTCTCTCAGCAGATATGGTTGTAGGAGACCAAACGCCATCTAATGTTCTTTGTCCAAAAGACAAACAGAACAACTATTCATCATCCTTCAATCTACCTGTACAAGCTACAACTCTGTGTTCTCTTATAAGAGAGAAAGTACCTGAAGACCATATAGCAATACATGACTCAAGTGAAGCTGTACAGTAGAATAATAATAAGCAAAAGTAGAAGTCCACTAGTCCGTTTGACCCAGGTGAAATTTCCTTCTGTACTCCCAAATAAGGCAACTACACAAACTCCAAGCTTCAGTAAAACCAACCCCAGGAAATGTAATGCAGAGTGACTTCATACATAGAACAATTCAACGTTTGTGAGGGACAACACTTCCCAGTCTCAGAATTTAAATCTAACTACCGTATTTTTCGCCCTATAGGACGTACTTTTCCCCCTCCAAAAATGAAGGGGAAATGTGTGTGCGGCCGCGCAAGGCTTGGGGCGGCAGCCTGCAGCCCGAAGCACGGGGCACGCTGTGAAGTACGCCCTGTGCTTCAGGCAGATGTCCGCAAGCCTCGTGCGCCCGGCACCAGGCTTGCAAGGCTTGCAGGCAGCAGCCTGTTCTGGGGGCTGGGGTCGGGGGAAGCTCGGGCTTCCCCTGCGCTAGCCCCGCGCCTGGGGGGGAAATAATCTTTTTTTCTTTATCCCCCCCCCAAAAAAAATCTAGGTGCGTCCTATGGGGTGGTGCGTCCTATGGGGTGAAAAATACGGTATATCCTTCAAAGATTTGTCCACCTAAGCTGAGCCTCTCATGAACTTTTGCCCCTCAGTTTTCTGCTTCTAATAATTAAGAATCATCATCTGATTTCCAGCTGTTAATCCGAATTGCTCATTCACTCTGGAGAACATGCCAGCTCCTGAAATTCTATTACTATATAATTTTAAAAGCATAGTTTAGGTGTCATTTCTTTTGCACTGAGACCCAAGCCCCCGTCTGGGCAAATGGACAGAAGCAACTCCTTCACAGATCCCTTTAATGGGATACCCTATTTCTGGAGGGGAAAGCAAGGAGAAGAGCTGGGTGTCGGGGGCTGGCGTGGGCTGTTTAAATCCCCTGGGAGTGGACCTGCAGGAAGCCTGAGGGAAGCCTCAGGCAAGCTCCACAAGGGGCCTCGCCCTCTGTGCCAGCCTGCCATTGGCCAATTGGCAGGCTGGTGTGGAGCTGGATTTCAAGCCAGGAGCGCATGCCAAAGCTCACACTTCAGCAAAACTACCCCCTGGCGTCCCAGCCCTGCATCATTGGTGGGAAGGAGGCGCTGGCCCTCAGAAGCCAGTGTGGTGTAGTGGTTAAGAGTGGTGGACTCGTAATTTGGTGAACCGGGTTCGCTTCCCTGCTCCTCCACATGCAGCTGCTTGGGCTAGTCACACTTCTCTGAAGTCTCTCAGCCTCACTCACCTCACAGAGTGTTTGTTGTGGGGGAGGAAGGGAAAGGAGATTGTGAGCCGCTTTGAGACTCCTTAAGGGGAGTGAAAGGCAGGATATCAAGTCCAAGAAGGTAAGCAATCTTCTCAAAGGAGTTTTGGTTGGCTTACCATATTGACCTTTCCTTCTTTCCTTCCCTTCCCTTTCCTAACCTATCCTATATGTACTGAACTCTACATGTGATGATGTTCAGCATGACTGAATTCTCAAAGGTGTCAGTAGAAACTGATAGATAGTCTTGCATAATCTCAAAAGACAGCAAACAGACCACTCCAGAGTTTTATCTCACGAGGTACGTTTCTGATCTATTGGCTGTGTGAGAAGTAGTTTTCAAAAACCAATGAGCGGAATATCTTGAATGGTTTAGCATAGTCTTGTTGAACAGTTTCTGAATAACAGCTGTACTGACAACAATATCGTACTTTTTTGTGCAGGAAGAAAAGTTGCTGAACATATTACAGCGACTCGAAGTACGCAGTGGGAAAACTGCTAGTCTGGCAATGGAAGTAGATGGGCTGCCATTCTATGACATTCATTCAGCTATGCTTGAGAAGCTGCTGGAGGAAACTCTGAAGTAACTCTACCCTACAAGATGCCGATTTTTTTTTATTTCTAATAGTGATATATAAATATTTTAATAAATAAAAATAAAGAAAGAAAGATATATAGACTTTGCAAAAAGAAGAAGACGACTGATAAAACAGATGACCTTCTTAGGGTCCCTTCCAACTCTATAATTCTGTGATTCTGTTCAGCTATTTTTCTCTGCATTTCAGAGTGATAAAGCAAACACACTCGCCTCATTCAGACATAACGCTGAACACAGTTTAGCATTATGTCCAAACCCAAACAAACTGTGTTAAGTCTGAACTATGAAACTAGCCAACTTCAAATCTTAGTTTATTAAGCTGGTTTGTTTCAATAGCACCTAGTTAAGGCTGACCATAGCTTAGGCTTCCAGTATGATGCCAAAATGGAGGTGGAAGATTGTGATCTCCTCTTCCTTGTAGCTGTGCTGGAGGCAAGGAATGGGGAAAACACAGGCTCAGTAGGGATGGAGGAGAAATTCAATTCAGTTCACAGTAAAACTCACTGAATTCACACTGTCCACAGCAGTACACAAATCAAAACACAGCCATCCTTCAAAATTTGCACTTATCTGAATTTTGCAGTGCAGTTTCCCAGCCAAGTAATGTGTACCAAAGTACATGTAATAGAGTGAAGTGTGGATAAATATGCTTTCTGTATATTGGTATAATAGCACAGAAAAATGGATTTTCATATGGAAAAGTGCATTTTATGATAAATTTGCACTAAAATGCTGGTGAATTTTCATGAGGACACTTAGAAAAAATATCTCAGAAATGTGGAGAGCTGAATTTAAGATTGGGAAAATGAGACAGCATTTAAACATCAGAATTTGTGGAAATGTTTCTTAATGGTCTGTATCTATGGATATTGGGCAGTCTAGGACCTCCAATGTTACTGGTTTGTTTATCCTTGTGGAATGTTTAGTCTAGTAGAAATATTGCTGCCATCTTCAACAGATGTTTGCCCTGACCCAGAATTTTTTCTGAGTGACGATACGGTCATTACTTTAAAAGTTACTTCATTTGCCTTAATGGTTGCTACAAGTCAGACATTTATTTTTTAAAAGATGAATGTGATCTCTTACCATGAATTTACAATAAATTAATCTTACAATGAATTATTGCCACAGTGTTTGTTTTTTCCAGCACAATCTTGTTTATGTTGTTACAATCTTTTCCTTAATATAAATGTGAACAGGCCGTTCACAATGACAGTGAATTTCTATGCAGATAGGGAAATATTTTTACCAAGACATCCCCAAGGCTGCTATTGTTTCTCATTGTGTCTATATTTTGAAGTCTCACACCCTTGGCCCATTAGAGAAGCAGCCAATGTGTCCCTATGTCTATTTGAGGTGTTCCTTATATTTCCTTAAAGATAATTATTATTATTGTAATAATATTGGGAAGAGGAAAGTGTATTCCTGAGCATTAGGAATGCACTTTGGTACTGAACCTTTTTCTGGATAACTACATTTTGCTGTGTCCTCTTGCTTTAAGATAACACAGTCATAAAGTAGCAATCCCAACAAATGGGTTCAGTCACTTTTATTCAAGTCATGCTTATGTCTTATACTGTCTTGCTCATTTCCATGTCAGCAGCTGACAGTAAGCATGAGTTGTATATGACCCTGCTCAGTTCTATTGCATTCAAAAAATGTTGGCCCACACAGCAAAGGAAACCAAACCAAACACAACAAAATAGTGACCATGAGATAAATGTGCAGTTTAGATTCTTGGCTCAAAGTAAAAATTTGCTACACAGAACTATAAAATACACTGAGTGTTAAGCTAAACAAAATTAATCCTCTTCTGGGCTAGAATACATTTTGTTTTGGCAATCAGTTCTAGCATATTTCATCAAGATTTTGTCTTGCCAAATATTAATTCCAGCACCTGGACCCTATGGTTTTTGTTTGCAACAATATACAACTTGACTTTCTTCATTGGGTTTCTCGCTGCTTTTTGTTAATTGCCACTTAAAAATCTCATACAATATGCACTATTCTTACTGCTTTAGTTATGGAAATCCCAATAATCCTCATCTAAGCATGGTTTAAGAGCCGGAATCCACAGCTGTAGCATTTCAGTTGTGACTCAGAATTTACAAACAGTTCTTCAGCTTGTTTGGGAGTCCTTAAAATATGTTTAATTGTCCACAATCAGTTGTGAAACTCAGTGGGTACGGGTAACCTTTATGGAACCAGATTTCTGTATGAATTCTTTCAGATATGCTTTTATGAATAATGAATTATACTAATTCAGATCAACATACTAACTTTTTCCATGGTTTGCAAAAAAAAGAAAAAAAAAGGATTAAGGGCCTTTCTCTTGCTGCATTAATGCAATGATTTAGCTGCTCATTTCCCCCATTTAAGAGTAGCGATATGAACCATTTCAGAACTTTTTTAATGCACAGATTGATAGACAAGACATCCCATATAGGTTGCACTTTAAAAGTGAATATATTCCACCTCTTAAACTAAATGATCGTTTGAATATTATGCTTTGGTCATCTGTTAAATAATGCTTCACTACATTCAGATTTCTTAAAACAATACCGGAACACTAATACATTTATTTCTACAAGTCGTGTCTTCAGATACAATATTTTGCAGGACTGAGTCAGCAATATGCATAGGATGTATGATTAGTCACTTTATATAATTAGCCTGCTCTAGAGTAAAGCTCTAAATGACTTTAAAGGAACTAAGGAATTCCCCAGGTGGAATGAAGAATATCAGCATAGGGAAACCAAAATGGTTGTTTAGAACTTAGGGACCCACTGACACAGAACAGACTATAGATAAAAACACCATACACATTGGCAACGATCAGAAAAGAGCCCTTAAAATTGTGTGCATCTAGTACTTAACACCTAGACACCTAGCCTATATAAAACCAAACAGTTCTCCCATGTGTTGGGGAGGATGCCCCACTATAGGGACATAGCACATGTGGTGGGAGTGTCAAAAAATAGAAAGGTTCTGGAGAAATGTATTTACAGAAATATCTTTGATTACAAGTCAGACAGTCCTCATGACGCCAGAACTGGATCCTCTTAACTTATATAGTCATTATATGTTGCGAATTAGAAACAAAGAAAACATAATTTAACCACTGCCTGAACAACTGTTGCCAGGAAATGGAAATCATTACAGTTATTAACTATGGAAAAGCTGACACAAAAATTAAAAGTAGCAAGGGTTCAAAATGAAATACAACAATTTTTATGTAGTCTGGTATGATTTTATTGGCTACACAAATAATGAAGCATGTGGTACCCATAGTTTACAGCACAGTCTGGTGTGCATTAAGTACTTTTCCCCCCACACCTTCTCTCCTCCCTGCCCTATCCTATAAATTTTAATTGTTACTGATACAAAATACCTTGTGGTCATCAATCTAAGCAATACATGTTACTTTACATCATCTCATATCTGTAATAATTGCAATAATTTTGGTATATACCCTTAGACACAACTTTGTTAATATATTCAGAAATGCTTATCTGAGTGTTTATTGTTTCAATTTTATGAAATTGTTGCATATCATATGCTCTGATGTTTACAAAGGTATATCTCAATGCAACCAAAACAGATTAAAGCTGAAAATGAATGAAAACTATGTTACCAAAAAAAAGAATATCAGCATAGTGCAGTTGATTGCCTTTTTGAACTATTGTCCCTCTTTGCAAGATATAATAATTCCTATACATCTATACTCCAAAAAGGGAAGTGAGCAAATGTACACAGACGTTAGATCACTCCTTCCTTTGGTAAAGTGCTGATAGATGTTTCTTCCACTTTACGAGCATGTAACTTAGTTAACAACTCTGGGTCCAGCTCAGCCTGCTCCCGGATTTTTTTTACAGTTTCTGGAGTACTCATTGCATAGGATTCCTTGGTTTCTGTCTGTATACATCTTAGGCACTTTAAACAAGTGTCTCCTAATTTTGCAAAATACTGATAGGTACTCTCACTTGAAAAGCAATACAATATTGGGTCTGCAACGCAATTAAAAGTAGTCAACAAAAGTGTGATGTGGTACAAGTTAAAGATGCTGGCAGCAAATTCACAGCTGTTTTCAAAGATGCTGCGGATCAGCAATAGAACATGATATGGTCCGAAGCACACCAAGAAAATGATAATTGTGCTCGACACCAGACGTATAATTTGAATCTTCTTCTTCTTCTGAGTGCCATGGCTCTTGCGGACAACTCGCAGAATGCCATAGTAAGAGAAAATGAGCAGACAAAAGGGAAATAGGAAACCAGCCGTGAAACGGTAATAATTTATGCTGTGCTCCCATGTTTTGATGGGATAATGCTCAAAGCACACCACATGGCTCTCTGAGTCTTTAGTCACTTCACCGTGCGTAAAAAGAAGGCAGGAGGTCAGAATTTCCTTGGTCCAGATGGCAATGCTCACCACCACGGCAGCCTTCACTGTCCGAAACTGATGGCAGCGAAAAGGATGCACCACAGCCAGGTAACGGTCAATTGAGATGCAGCAGAGGAAGGCAACACTGATGTAAATATTTTCATACAAGACAATGCCACAAATCTTGCATAGGAGTTCATCATAGGTCCAGTTGTCATGCTGCAAAACATACTGGAGCCAAAAGGGCAGGGAGAAGATGTAAAGCAGATCTGCTATGGTCAAATTGCAAAGGTAGATCCCCAACTCATTCTTGACCTTCACCTGCAAGTAGGCATAGTACAACGAGAGACAGTTGGCTGGGAGTCCTACTACAAAGACAAGGACATAGATCACAGGTGATAATGTCTGGTGTATGGTGTGATCAATGGTGCAATTCAGAGTATTATTGTTGTCTGCGATGTCCTCGGAAAAGTTATCCATCTTCTGCAAAGAGTGACCACGTAAACCCCCAGCAAGGCAGGCATAATTTTAATCGTCTGTCATTTCATTCTTTCTACATTTTCTTCATACCAGTGTCACTCCTTGTGAACACCTGCATGGGGGGAAACAAAGCACAATAACATTCTTTGAATGAAATGCACCAACAATAATACCTAGAATATTGCTCATAAACATTTGTAATTCTACCACATTAAATAATCTTTTTTAGCTTTCTCTTGATTTCAAGCATGGAAAAGTAAACTTAAAACTAGGGATAAATAAGGAATACATAATTGTTACACATCTGGGAGTTACTAAATCTACCACATACTATAGTTCATCCAACTGGTATGGGCAGCTACCAGGTATGCATATACCGGTAATTCAGAGCAGCAGCACTTTGTGATTACCTACAGGTAGTAAATATTTTCTGATTGAAGAGCTATGCCTAGAGGCCCCTTTAAGAATTGTTAAAAATCTGTTGGAATCTTCCCAGATCAAAATACAGATTCATTTAACATTATTATTGTTGTTATCATCATCATTATAATTAATCAATCTCAGGGCAATTCACAGGACAAAAATACAAAATAAAACCACAACATATATAAAAACAAAAGCAAAACAATAACCCCCAACACCCCTTATGAATAATAAAGAATAATAAAGAAACTAATCAAGAAACCAAAGTAAGGTATTCTTTCTTTCAACACGCTTGACTAAAATAGTATTAAACAGCAGGAAAGTATATCTTCTATTAATTGCAGACACTCCACAACAGATTTAGTTCAGTGCTAAATGCATTTGGAGGCCCCATTTAGTTTGATTATACACCTACATCCAATAATATGCCTTTTGATAGCAATGAAAGACTGTTATGAGAAGCAATTTACTGAAACATGAAGTACATATCTTCAGAATGCATATGTTATAAATGCATCTATAATATTAAAGTTAATGTCAGAGGAAAAAAACAGAACCTATTTTATTATACAACAAAATTCCCTTCTATGAAAATCCAATACAATTTCTGCGTTTGGCGGGGCCCCTAGAGCCTGTGGATCCCTGTGTACTTTGCATCCCGGCCACCACTGATGTAGAAGTCCCCTGAAGTTAGGAATAAATTCCTCTCTTTACCTTCCTGGCAAACGATTGCAGTACTGATATGTTCAACTGCTGTCTTTGAACATTCAGCCAGTAAAAGGCAGCTTGTAGCATCCTTAGATCTGCCTTTGTAGAAACAAACTTGGGTGCAAATGTGTTGGTTCAAAGGGATGCAAAAATACTGAACAATGTCATTTCTCTGTAGGAGGCTGCATCCATTGTTTAACACACTGGCAAGCAGGAAGATAAGCTCAGTCTTTTCAGAGTTCCAGTGTCAGGAAATGGCCATTAAGAGTAAGGGAGTGTTACACAGCATCTTCATCGGAATAATATTCAAGCACAATCTAATACTAGGATACCTCCAAATCAGACTGACTTCTCTAATATTCTGCTAGATTCATGTCACAATAATAAGTCTCACTTCTGTACCATGTTCTAACTAGTGCATTTATAAACACCGGCACATTTACCCAGGAGTAAAGGTCAACTGAGCACAGTGGGGCTTGCTTCTCAGTAAACATGCATAGGATTGCTCTGTAAGCCCCATAACCATTCTGTAACCTAACCATCACCCCTATTAAAGCACACTGAAAAATAAGCTACAATAACCATGTGAAGGAGGGAAGTGGGATCATGCTTGCTTAATATTATCTGCCATCACACTGCATGCAGCTCCTCAGTAACTGTCCACAGGTTGAGGGCATTCATTCTGCTAAACACATGTATGCTGTCCCTATGAATGTGAACCCTGACAAGCGTTCCTAGAGCATCAGTGCACAGCGGCGAGGAAAATGTACGCAGCTCTGTTCTTCTGCTGCATGTGACTATCATTGTGTACAGTGGTACCTCGGGTTATATACGCTTCAGGTTACAGACGCTTCAGGTTACAGACTCCGCTAACCCAGGATAAGAACAGAAATCGTGCTCCGGTGGCGCGGCAGCAGCAGGAGGCCCCATTAGCTAAAGTGGTGCTTCAGATTAAGAACAGTTTCAGGTTAAGAACGGACCTCCGGAATGAATTAAGTAATTAACCTGAGGTACCACTGTATTTTGGAAACCTGATTAGGGCAAATATTACTGGCAATTCTCAGTCATATACTACTTTTTGCTTGTGCTTTTCAGCTTCTTAATGTTCCTGCCTGATCTGAAACTGAGTCAAGTCACCATTTTCCCCGTTTCTTCAGGTGGGGAACCAAAATGGGAGAACGCTGACTTCCTAGGGTCACAACCAATCCATGGCATAAATTGTACACTTTCAAAAAATAATCCAGACCCAAATCCAACTTTTTGAACAATATTCCAAAGTGAGTCTGAGAGTAAAAAGGTAAAGGTAAAGGGACCCCTAACCATTAGGTCCAGTTGCGGATGACTCTGGGCTTGAGCCAGAAAGGTACCTATCCACCACCTGTGTCCCTACTCTGAGAGTAATTAAGGGAGGCATCACCATTCCATGGCTGACTTTTGCAATTAAAATATACCACTTTATATGTACTGAGTTGAATAGGATCCAAAATGCAGCAGTCTGATTGGTCCTCGAACAATGCAGCAGTATGATTGGTCCACAGGAGTCACCCAATCCAGCTCCAGGTGGAAGTGAATCCACAACCTGATTGGCCTACAGGAGAATCCTGGAATTAGCCAATCACGTGCGGCCCATTGTGTAAATAATGTATATAAAGCAGATATTGTGGGGGAACCTCCATTCCTCCTCACCACTACAAGCTGAATAAAGAGCATGAAATCCACTCTCGACTCCGAGTATATTTCACCACTACTTCTGATCTTGCTATTCTGGACTCTTCGGAGAGGCCTTTTCTGCAACACTATGCCATATTATAACTCAGCAAGAAGAAGCAAGCCAGCAAGTACCCAGAGCAAAAATCACAACCACTCTCCTCCTCCTCTTCTCCTGCTGCTGGTGCACTACCCAGAACACTACCTAGGCTCATGGTTTGTCTCGCTACCAGCAAATAACAAATTGCAACCAAAATTTAGAGGGAGGCAAATCATGAACCCATAACACCAAGTCATATCAGCGCATAACCGGCAAAATAGCCATTATTTTCAATCTAGGTACCTGCATGCTTGCTCATTCTTGCTAAGCCATGGTTTGGTTAAGTGCTGCATGTGAATAAGGTGAAGAAAAAGTGTATCTAAAGCATTCTCATGTTACAACTTTAGTCATGGGTATGACTTGTAGAGGTTTTCCCACCTATGGAAAGGGATGAATTGATAGTCAATAGCTATAATTTAGGTTATTCTGAGTGAGTCGTTTTTAAAGCAGTTGGACTTAGGTTAGTAGCAAAGAACCTAAGTTCCATTGGTTTCAATGGGACAGCTTTGACATATGTTTTCTTGATTGGGATCAAAGTGTCCAGTATTGCCAGCCATGGCTTGTTCCTGGAAAGAAAAAGACCAGAGCATGTGAAGGAAAGGAGGAGCCCTCCTCTGCTTTCCCTGTTCCAGGTTCCAGTTTCCTAAAGAGAGAAAAAATTCTAAGTTTCATGGTGGCTTCCATGAATAGGAACTACATCCTTTGGCGTTGAAATTGACCCCAACATATTTCAAAATAATTACATAACTGTGTGTGTTTCATTAAACTAATCTGAAAACGATGACTTTAAACACTACTGCAATGATTAAATGAAACATAAACAAGAGGCTAATTAGTCATCCCCCCAAAATGTTATATTACTCATTACATCTACTAAGAGACTGAACTGTTTGGACTTGGAATTTCCCTTGTCTGTTCAGCTTCCTTTTCCAGGTATCATACTATTTATATGACAATTCTGACTGTGAATGGTAGGGCAGTATTTTTGCAGGCAACTTCTCAGAATGTATAAAGCAGACTTCGGGTATAGCCCAACAATACCGCACTGCGACTCCATTCATATTTCCTGTTTCCAATCTTTCCCTACTGTTATGAACTGTGTTGAATGGACAGTTTGCGAATACATCTAAAACAAAATAATGAGGATCACCAAAGAATTACATGGCAAATGAAGCAAATGGCAGTGAGGACAAAGAAGAAGAAAGTGACACAGAGAATGCAGCATATTGTATGAGTGTCTCCACACACACACACCCCATGATTTACTTGCTTGCATTAAAATTGCTACTCTACAAGCAAATATTGAACTTAGATAATATTTAGTGCAACTGTAGTAAAAGCTTGCTCTCCTATTGGATAGGCATTATGTGTTCTGGTTGGCACTGGACTTTGAAGAGTCCTCATTTTGCCATGCAAAATAGCCTTCGACCTGTCACTGTCAGATAAGATATACTGTACAAGGAGTCAGGACCAGAAATATGACATCATAGATACTATTGACTATAGTATAAATCTTCCTAATTTTTTTAGTGTTTATTTCCACACACACACACACACACACACACACCCATGAGAATTAACAAATCTTTAAAATCCAAAGAAAATTAAGTTTTCTTTTAGAAAACAATAAACCCTGAACCTGAACGTTACTAGGCACAGCTTCAAAGGCTGGATGTTGTGCTCCGAACATGCAATTAAATAACCAATGCTAAACAGGAAACCAACTAAAAAGAGAACTGGGTGCATGCCAACAAGCACTGAACCACCTCAGCAAAGAGATAATCGTCAACAAGTTACCTCACATCAAATTCATTTAAGGCTAAGCAGCTTGAATAATGCACAACCAAAGGGTTGCAAAACTTCACAAATTGTGTAAGATTAGGAAGGTCTTTTTTTGTATATTGAGACAGAAAGGTAAGAGTAAGCAGCAATTAAATCCATTGCTGCAGGATTTTTAAAAATGCATTTATCTTACATCGCGTTTGGATCTTCAACAGGATCAAAAGTTTTAATGCAAAAATCACACAAACATGTTATTCCTTCATTTCCACCTTACAACTTCTATGTATATATTTGAGTCTTTTTAAAATAAAATAAGATAGCAGCATTGCATCCCAGTCCATACCAGGGTGACAAAAACACAGTAGGAGTAAGAATGTTAGAATTGCTTCTTC